AGTGTTAATGATGACACACTGATAATGAAAGCACCTTCACAGCTTGATGTGAGAACTTAAAACATATTGCTTCAATAAAAAAAACTCAATTGTGTTCCCTACAAATGTCTTTCAGCGCTTCTTAAGGAAAGCTCCTGAGGTTGGTTTGTTCCCAGTTGTTAAGGTCCATTAATGCAATATAAAAACACAGCAATACACTCACCACAAATGCATTTCATTTTGATTTAGAAAGAGAAAAGAGATTGCTGCCTATTGTGCAGATGTCAGGTTCAAGCTGGTGGATGCCTGCTTCCTTTAACAAAATGTCCCAAATGATATGCCGCCAACCTTTGTTTGGCTCGTCTCCTGGTGTCACGCAACATTTTAGATAGACAGCAGGAGTCCTAATGCTAAAACAAACAACAAAAATAGTCAAATGTGTTACCTCCTCCGAGAAAATGTAACATTTGGTTTCGGTGGATATGTTCTGATATTCACATACTGTATAGCATTGTACATTTTAATAGAGTGCAGTGTGTTGTTGAGTGGTATTGTATAGTAAGGACCACCGGAGCACACCAGCATCTAACTAGAGTCATTAGCGGGTACAAATACATGCTGTTTAATATGTTGCAACTCAGCAGCTATAGCCTATACAGCCTGCAACTGATGATAGCAATTGACCTTGATACATGTTTATTTGGTCACTTGGTTAACAAACTAAGGTGTATGTCAACATAAATAATAACTCTGGAGTAAAACCAGGGTTCGCACCATAGACTGTAGGCCTATATATAAATGGACGTAGTGTCCGTGACGTCACCCATAGGATTCTGCAGATTTGCCGAGAAGCCCTTAGTAGGCGGAGTCAGCCACTAACGGCTCGACAGCGACGTCAGAGTCTAATCCCGCCTGCTCCAAATAAGGGCAAAGAGGCGGGACCTGCTGCCTCCGAACTGGAAGTAAACAGAGCTAGCTCAGGCTAAGAAGCTAAGCTAACATGAAATACATGCATACCAAGTTACTGCTAACAGTGTAGTTCCCCTATATAAACGTTACATTCATAATCAAATGAGACAATCTGCAAGAGAATTAGCTATATTTTGTTATTCTTAATGCTTGTCATTCGCATCTTAAGAAAAGAAGTAACGATACAAAGCAGAACAATTGTGGCGATGTTCAGCTTAATAAGCCTTGTTCAACATAATTTATTTAGCTAATACTACAGCAGGCGAACCAAGTCTGCGTTTCGCTGCATTCCTTGATCTCCAGTTATAACGATATAAATATATATATATAATATAACGTAGCCCTACGTAGACACGGCACACCCGCGAAATCTGAATCTGACAATGAATCTGACAAGCAAAATACCGTACATACATGTGTGAGTACATATAAGTGTGTGTTTATATATATATATGTTTATAAATGAATAAATGTGTGTAGGCCTATATATATATATATAAAATATATTTATAAATGAATAAATGTGTGTAGGCCTATATAAATATATAAAATAGTATCATTAAATAATGCTAATACTTACACCAGCTGAGATATAAACCCAGTAGACAAACAAACTATTCCTGCTTTACGCGACGCTATGCCTATAACTGCCAAAGATGAAGTCTATGACGGCTAAGGCTAGTATCTTGCGTATGCGGGAGTGGCGTGGTTAAATCTTAAATTGGGTTGGGATAACGATAGCGTCGCGCGCGCCGGTGGGCTAGCCCCCCGCGAACGGAATAACATTTAAATATTATATTTAGACTTCTTTGGAGTTCTTTGTACATTCAAGTGCACACCGACATTTTATTGTCTGTTTTGTAACATATTCTAAAAGGCACATCCCCCGACCCAGTAAGTAAAAGGGTCAAGTACTACTATGACTAACTACGTTGTAGCCTAATTTATGCAATACTTTAGACCTACTAAATAAAAGGGTCGTGGTTAGAAACATTCATCCCAGATTATATCATGAAGGTGGATCTAATTATCGATAATAATATTTTTGCATCCATGGGTGAAATATGCTTTTTTTTTGCTGTAAAGTTGGGCATTTTAACATTGGGGTCTAGGAAATTGCTCTTTCTGCGTCAGTACTGCGGGCCATGTATGAAATGCGTGTGTTGCACTCGTATTGGCGTCCGCTGTTCCCCGAGTTTGCCGCTGGGTGCCACACAGCAATAATAAACAGGGGTTACTTCAAAACATTTGAAATGTTATTTGGGAACCATCCTGGGAACATATTTTGGGGGTGGACCTCCAAAATCCTCTTAGGGGGGTCGGGGGCATGCATCCCGAGTAATTTGTTTTAATTTGGAGTTAATGTCATCTGGTGCATTTTGAGCGGGAATAAAACGAGACTAGATTATGACCCCATTGAAACAGATGCCCTATGTACATGTAAACCAGTACCCCTGTGTGAGGCAAACCCACATTGCGAGCGGTTGCGTTCACAAGTACATTAAAAAAAAAAAAAATCCATGCATCGAACCTCCGGTCCTTCGAAATGGCCGTCCGGCTGCAGCGCCCTCTATTGCTACAAACTTAAGTATGCAACGGTTCACTGCACACCCACCATTCGGCTCGCGCGCACGTCCGGCTAGATTGTGGCTAATAAATGATTTGCGCCCTTGGAGGGCAGTGCGGCATGTCATTTCAGAATGCTGCACGTGCACTCCAAGGTGGCGCAATACTTATTGCATTAATCTATGTTGTGTGTGCGTGTGCGCGAGCCGTGATGATGTTGTTGTGTGCGTCGTGGAACCTTTTCATATTAGTTTGTGCAGTAGAGTGTGCTGGCAGGCCGGATTGGCTCGAGAGGACGGAGGTTTCCCGATGGCCCTGCCTGGGTGGCTGGTGTTTTTTTTTTAATGTGTGTATTGTGAACGCACGCTGGAAATGTGGGTTTGCCTACACAGAGGTGACTGGTTTACATGTAACATGATGTGGCATGTGTTTATATGGGTGTTTCTCATAGTCTAGTCTCTTTTTTTCCTCAAATGCACAGGATGATTTGCATTTAACTCCAAATTAAAACATATTTGATCGGGGGCATGCCCGGACCCCCCCTAGAGGTTTTGGGTCACCCCAAAATTGATCCTGGATGGTTCCAATACATTCTGCAAATGTTTTGGATAGTTACCCCTGTTTATTATGGCGGTGTGTTGTTGCGAACCAAGCGGCAAAACTCTGGGGACAGCGGGACGCCATCGGAAGTTGCCACACACTGCGTTCTCAATTGGGCCGCGTACGGTCTGATGCGAAAGGGCAATTCCATGGCCCATATGGTTAAATGGCCAACTTACGCAGAAAAACTTATTCTACATGGATGCAATAAATATTATTATCGATTAGTTAGATTCCACCTTCATGATTATGAATCTGTGCAGTGAATTGTTTCTAACACGGGACCCTTTTTTTTAATTTTTGGTCTTTAAAGTTTTTGCTAATTGGCTCACGTTAGTTAGTTGTCTAGTTACTGTCTTGACCCTTTAGCTTTGCTGTGTTCGTGGGGGTTGTGCCTTTTAGGGGAAATTTGTTACAATACCGCATTAAATGTCGTGGCTGTGCACTTGATGTACTAAGGAGATTTCCAAGAAGCGTTTAAAATGATAATATTATAATGGTTAATCCCGTTCGCAGGGGGCTAGCTTTCCAGCGGCGTCCCGGGGGGTCTACGTTATTCCACCCAATTTAGATTTACCCCGCCCTTCCGCATCGCAGGACGTAGCTTTAGGTCATTAGCTTCCTCTTTGGCGTTATAGGCATAGCCGTCGCGGTAAGGCAGGATAGTTGTTTTTTGTTCTACTGGTGTTTTTATTCTCCAGCTGGTGTAAGTATTAGCATTATTATGATACTTTTTTATTTTTTATAGGCCTACCACATTTATTCATTTATATAATTATATTTATATATTATATTATAGGCCTAACACATTTATTATTTATAACACTTATATATATTATAACAAACCTTATATGTACTCCACATGTATGTACGGTTTTTGCTTGTCGATTCATTGTCCGTTCAGATTTCGGGGTGTGCCGTGTTACGTAGGGTACGTTATTTATAATATATATTATATCGTTATAACTGGAGATTCAAGGAATGCAGCGAACG